CGCCAGCGAGGATTCAGCCCGTACGATTCCAAATCTTCTTCTCGGAGACGCAAAAAGATGCGTCCAGTAATGGAGGAGCGCTGAACAAAGAGCGTCACGTCTTGAACGATGGGTGCAGGCACAAGATGCAGCAGAGGGGTCAGGTAGTACGCCACGTGAGAGGAGGTCCACGTTTTGGGGTTGGACTGCGTTGAGCAGAGAAAGGGATTCAATGAGTCAATGAAATCGAGCCGGGTCAAACCTGGTTGGAAAGTCGTGAATGCACTCACTGGTAGCTCGTCCGCTACTTCTTTCATATCCTTGACAGCTCTATGATGGGTTGGTGTCTGTGAGACGAGCGCGGATGGCACAGTGTTGGATCGTGCGAGGGTAGCATGGCCCGTCTGCGATGGCAAATCTGATGCGACGGCTCTGTCAGAGTCCAGCGAGGTGCGACTAGCAGAATGCTGAAGCGTAGGGGACCCAGCGGGAGCAGCTTCCTGCTGCATGCCCTTGGGAAGACGCCTGGTGGGCGTAACGAGGCTGTGACTTCTGGTGAGGTAAGAGTAGCCATGTGGTACTGGTCCACCGGGGTTGAAGCCCGTCGTCGTCGCTTTGTGCAAAGGAGCAGTTCGACTTTGCGGAGAATAGGGTTGTGGAAATTCGGTTGGAGCACTGCTGTTCGGGGACGGGTTGGTGGGAGGCGAATGAATCATCTTGAAAGGGCGATAGATGCTGATAGCGAGGCACTTTGGCAAAGTTCGTTAGATGAGCGTGAGTGGTCGTCAAGTGGTCGTAAGCGGATGATTGATAGGGCCCCTCTGATGTGGCGGAGTTGGTCGAGGAGGTGTGTGGATAGCTGGATGATTGGATGCTACGACAGGTCAAGCTTATATCCGTCCATCTGCGACCCTGCACCCTTGCGCCTATCGCCTCTCCTGTCCCAGCAGACGAGCTGCTTGTCGAAGTGCCAAGCTGCTGAGCTCGGGGGGTCGACTTTCCTAAAAGGGGCAGAACACGGATTACCGAGCCACGTCGGGCCTGACAGCAGTACGCTCTTCAACACTCTCGTGGCCTTTTGGAGCTATAACTGGCAACCAAGTCGCCGTTGCCTTATCGAGCGAAGAGACACCGAG